TATCCGTACTTTGAAAGGTGGTGTTGACATTTGTTATATCCGTCCTACAAAAGGTGGTGTTGACATTTGTTATATCCGCCCTACAAAAGGTGGTGTTGACATTTGTTATATCCGTCCTACAAAAGGTGGTTTTGACATTTGTTATACCCGTCCTACAAAAGGTGGTGTTGACTTTGATCGAACTCACTCAAGACTCAGTTGATCTGTAACCATGAAAGTCAAATAATTTTTTTTTCAATTAATCTCTGTATATTGACCTTTCTGTGACCTTGCTATGACCTTGCTTTGAGCTTGCACTGACCTTGCTGTGATTGTTCTAAATCAGCCTTTGTTTTATTTTACTTTTTTTTCATGAGTACTTATTTATAGTACATGATTAAAAACATTCCATCATACTATCACCAAGTTATATTTTTTCTCAATGTCTACTTCTATCTCATATACATTACAGTTTTTATTTATCTTTTTTTTTCCAAAGGTCATTTTTTATCGTATTATCAGAGTCTTTTTATAGATTGTCGGAACTTCCATGTTGCTTAACGACCTAGAAAAGATAAAAACTAAACTCAATAGAGCCGAAAGCCATTACTTTTTAAATTCCGAGCATCCGGAAAAAAAATAAAGTGATTGTGAAATGTCTTTTACCATTGTCGTCCATCTGACTGTAGACGATTTTAGACTAGTCACAGGGTAGGACGGAGACTAATTGTAAACTGCACAGGGAAGGGGGAATACTTACACCCCCTCACCATCATTACAGAGCTACAAACCCACTGTTACCGAAGTAACAACTGTTGGAAAAAAATGAATGGCAATTTTAAATATAATATTCATTTTAAGTTTAGCCAACATATTAGTACTGTTACAATTATTATATTTTATTACCATTAAATATTTAATGAATCATATATTTTTCTATTCTTAAAGTATTGACATGTATTACCCAATTCTTGAAACCGTAAAATAATTGCTCTATAAATAATGTAATTTTATGGCAATGCTAAAAGTTGTAATTTATTACCCAGCCCTTGCTGTCATGTAATTTATTGCCCATCACCTAATACCTTGTCATCTATTTCCCAATACTACAAATCTTGTCATATACTGCGAAATGTCTAAAATCTTGTCCTACATTGCCCAATGTCTAAAATCTTGTCATATATTGTCTAATGTCTAAAATCTTGTCCTACATTGCCCAATGTCTAAAATCTTGTCATATATTACCCAATGTCTAAAATCTTGTCATATACTGCGAAATGTCTAAAATCTTGTCATTTATTTCCCAATGTCTAAAATCTTGTGATATATTGCCCAAATGTCTAAAATCTTGTCATATATTGCCCAATGTTTAAAATCTTGTCATATATTGCCCAATGTCTAAAATCTTGTCATTTATTGGCCAATGTCTAAAATCTTGTCATATATTGCCCAATGTTTAAAATCTTGTCATATATTGCCCAATGTCTAAAATCTTGTCATATATTGCCCAATGTCTAAAATCTTGTCATATATTGCCCAATGTCTAAAATCTTGTCATATATTGCCCAATGTCTAAAATCTTGTCATATATTGCCCAATGTCTAAAATCTTATCATATATTTCCCAATGTCTAAAATCTTGTCATTTATTTCCCAATGTCTAAAATCTTGTCATATATTGCCCAATGCTTGAAATCCTGAAATATATTCCCCAGTACTGAATGTAATAGATTTACCAACGACGGAGACCAATTTCCCAACACATAAGGCCGTGACGTGGTTCCTATAACATAGTGTCACGCATTGTATTGGGGAATTCACAGATATAATTGACTTGTCCACCACTCGCTCAACTAGCGTGCTGATTGGGCAGGAGTATCGTCCCTTGAATGACCTGTTACCTCCCCTTGTCCCGGGCCCAACTCATACATTAGATTGTGTATTGATGTCCTTTGGTACAAAACAAAGGGAAATAACGCTGGACTACGTCAATGACAACCATCATCAGTAATGTCCTCATCGTTTGCCAGGACAGTTGGGTGTGTGAGGGTGAGGAAGTCCTACTGTTGTGGTCCTGCTGTTGTTATCCTTATTCTATGTCCTACAGGAAATTGTTCAAGATGTCCTGAGATGACATGGGGGACCCTCAGGACTAAGAGGACAGAACGTTATCAGGATGGAAAGCACAGTGAAGAATCTGCATATGCAATGTTCTTATTGATCGCTTGAAGTGTTGAACTTCTTTTAAAATCAGGAATCAGAAAACATGCCTTGTTGCAATGAGCTGTTAAAAGATTAAATTAACATAAAAGAGAGTTCATCAGGGAGAAAGTAATGCATAACAACATCGTGTCCGGGTGTACAGGAAAGTGTGTCTTCAGAATGTACACAGATGTGTGTACACCGTCTCATAGTCTGTGTACAAGGTCTGGGAGTATACACAGATGTGTGTACAACGTCTCATGTGTACACAGATGTGTGTACAACGTCTCATATTGTACATAGATGTGTGTACACCGTCTCATAGTCTGTGTACAAGGTCTGGGAGTATACACAGATGTGTGTACAACGTCTCATGTGTACACAGATGTGTGTACAACGTCTCATATTGTACACAGGTGTGTGTACACCGTCTCATAGTCTGTGTACAAGGTCTGGGAGTATACACAGATGTGTGTACAACATCCCATGTGTACATAGATGTATGTTCGTCTCATATTGTACACAGATATGTGTACACCGTCTCATAGTCTGTGTACAACGTATGGGAGTGTACGCAGCTGTGTGTACAACGTACACAAATGTGTGTACAACGTCTCATATTGTACACTCACGTGTAGCTAGCCTCTCAATCACTGTTTATATATTTACTCCGTTCTTGTCATATGAACAATGGAATAGAACCCAGCTAGATTGACAGGACGACACTGATCATTAGACTTGAAGGGAGAAAAAAGACGTTTCTCTCAATTTTCTCTTGATGGAGTTTGAAAGAAAATGTAAAAAACTTAAGCCTGCAAAAAATGTCAGACATTTTAAGAATCTATGTTATAACAGTTGCAATAGCAGGAAACTTGAAAATATTTTTTTTGCGTTAAGGCTACATTTCTATTTACCTTCATAAAACCTAGATTTAAATTTTAATCTGAAGTTTCACTTACATAAGACAAAGTTTGATTGGCTGTATAGAACTCCGAGATCGTATTTCTGAAAATCCCAATTAGCAGTAATTTGTACTCAAAAGCTGGCCAGTAAATATTGAAAATAAAATCATATTTTTAAACCACATCATCTAGATATGATATGTTGATTTATATTTTCAGAGAGAAAAAACAAAATTATTTTATGGCTTTTTAAATTTTCTGTTTAGTTTGAGAAAATACTAGAACAATCACTTGCGTCCATTTTTCTTTGTTAAGGCCGACAAAGACTACACAATCAAATTATATTAACATTTATTACAGCGCACAAAAAAAAATAATTAATAGAACACTCGAGGCTATTGTCGCTTTGATCCAGTGGATGTTAAGCCTACAAAATAATGTTACAATAACTGGATTTTTTATTCAGGATAAGTGTGGAGCGTACACTTCTACTGAATGTGATGTGTAATTTGGTTAACATACAATAGTTACTTCCCCTGCTTCAAGCAAGGACAGGCACATTATAAGAGTTGCTTCCCATTGATCACGATTCGATTACGTATCGTGTCAGATCACTATACAACCACAATCTCTACGTGATGGGGGAGACAAGAAATAATTGTACCCCATCCCGCGGAGAATGAAATAATATCCACTCGACTCCTTCTTTCGTTGCCTTTACTGAACAAGAGAAATAAGAAAATCAACAGTAAATAAACTAAAATTGATTAGGTTGTCTCCCGCTGGTAAATTAAGCGTTTGACGAGATAAAAACACATCTAAAACGTATGATTGTTATAGAAGTAAAGTAAAGTTTCCCTTTCAAACATGACGGTCTTTGGGGCAAGTGATGTAGAGTTCACTTGTTTCTGTGACCTCGGCATGTGTAGAGATAGTGTGGTCAGTACTATGCCCAGCCGCCTTTACTTTCCCTAACGTGAGTTAGGTACCCATCAGAGTTGGGTGGATTCAGGGACGGTCAACTGACTTGAACCCGGATTCGAACTCGAGACTTACGGGTTAGCATCCAGCTCTCTACCGCTAGACCACTCCGTTCCACTGATTGTTATAGAAGACAAACACAAAATTTAAGTAAAAACACGTTATATTTGTATAAAGGATCAACGGTTCAATATTTAATTTTTGTCTTACAAAATTGTTGTCGGCTGGTATTGCTAAAGGGACGGCCTGGTCGGATGGTAGAGCAAACGACTGTTAACCCGTAAGTCTCATGTTTAAATCCCAGGTTTGTATAAGTAGAACGTCCTATCTCTGATGGGTACCTAACTAACGTTAGGGAAAATAAAGGTGGCTGGGCATATATCGAGGTCACTGAAACATGTGAACTCTACTTCACCTTCAAATGGACCGTCATGTTCGAAATCTTACTTTATTTTTTTTTAACTGGTTGTTCTAACACGAACATCTCGAGTTCCGTACCTAGGGGCGAGCTCAAGCATATTCCTTGAGTTTACCCAGCTCTTATGGGTACCTGACTAACGTTAGGGAAAGTATAGGTGGTTGACTATACTATTGACAACTCTGTCATTTGAAATGCAGAGGTCGTAGACACAGTAGAACTCTGGACATGCGATTGGCTATCCCATAGACACAGTAGCGTAGCGAGGGGGGGGGGGGCGGGGGGGGGGGGACATATGTCCCCGGGCGCCGACCTTAGGGGGGGGGCGCCAAATTGAAAGTTTGAGGGGGGGGGGGTGCAAATGAAAAGTTCGATGGGGGGTGCAAATCGAAAATTTGCTCACAAGGGGGCGCCAAATTGAAAGTATGTCCCCGGGCGCCGGGAAGGGTCGCTACGCCTCTGCATAGACAGCAGTATCACGTCATTAGCTGAGGTCATCGACACAGTGAAACTCTGTTTCTTTTGCCTTGTTGACCGACATATCCGAAAGTTAAACTAACTTTTATTCTTTTTAATTAAAGTTAACAGCCGCACGAGGTAATAAATTTAATTACAATTTTTCCATCGAAATATTGCTTCTGAGTAAATGAACGTTAGTTCTAGTTAAAACTAACAAAACATTTCTAGTAGAACTGACATAACAGTGCGTCATGATGTATGGGTTCTTAAATAAATAAGCTCACAATAGATAAGAAAAAATCTTAAATTCATATTACCAAAGTCCACTACAGGAAACGTGGTTGATATATTCTTTGAAAATAAAACAGAATATAATTGGAAAACGGACACTACAATAACTTAAAAAATGTAACAACAATGCTAGACGATCCTAATTGCTAGCTCATCCAGAAAAAAAAACTGGATTATATTAGAAACTAATTTATCCAAATGTTAGCTTATCACAGCCTCTAGATTATCCCAATTGCAGTTTATTTTATATCCTAATTCTAAGTTTTTTTAGATCGACGTTTATCACAATTGCAGTTTGTCCGACTAATCTTGAAAACATTAAAATACAACACGTATTCCTGTTTACTTCCGCTTCAGGTAATGAACTTCATAACACTTTGTTCTACCCACCGGAAACCTGGGGATATTTCTCGGCGTCTTGACGTTCTTGTGCACGTCAAACTTCCTAAACCCGAGCCCCTCCAGTCTCTGGAATATCTTGAGCTGCGGTAAGATCGTGTGCCGGCCCAGGTTCCAGATGGCGTGGAACTCCATGTACAACTGCTGGACATCGTCTAACTGACCAGTGTCCAGTATGTTTGGCAAGGCCATCCATTCGCTTGTTTCTATGTCTATCTTAACGATGTCCACTTTGGTATGACCTAGCATTGACTTTAAGTCTTTCAGCGTATACATCATCCAGCCTGGGAACCTGGGGTGTTTTTGCCCCGTCTCCCCCCATAGCCCGACGTTGAAGAAGTGGACTTTGTCGGACCGGTTGTGGGACTTGACCCCCATGCTGGGGTCAAAGGAGAACACGTGACAACCGTAGAGCTTGGCGACGTCGTCGTCAAAGCTGAAGTCGTTGTTGATGCCGAATGAGTAGACTGTGCAGGGGCTCTTGGGGCGGACGTCCATGTCGTCACAAACTTCCCAACCGCCGTCGCCAATTTTTCCGGCTCGAATTTTCCGGCTACACACAACCTGGTGAGGGGTGATATAGAGAGGTGAGGAGATGTTGGAGATATTAGCGGTGGGAGAGTTGTAGTTATGTAGGGGGTGGGGAGGGGTGGTTTAGAGATTAGGGGTGGGAGAGGTGTAGTTATGTAGGGGGTGGGGAGGGGTGGTTTAGAAATTAGGGGTGGGAAAGGTGTTGTGGTGACTGGTAGTAGATAATTATTGTAGGGGTTTAAAGATGTGTAGTTATTTAGGATAGAGAAGAGTTGCTGTGGTGATTGGAGGTAGGGAGAGGTGGTGTTACGTAACGGGGTAGGGGGGATTATTGTGTCTAAGTTGTATAGCAGTATAAAAAAAGGGGTTTATTTTCTGTGTGTGCAGTGTGGGTAGTGTTGTGGGGTTTGAGCTTAATTTGCTAGGTGTGTGTTTCGGAGCTCGTGGTCAGTTAGCACGTTACGAGGTCAGAGCTCACGCCTGCCCTAGTTTGCCGTGCTTAGGCTATGAATGTGGACCATCATGAAGAATATATCTCTGTAGAGCTAAATGGTGGTAGCGTGTATACTCGGTCATTTCTAGAACAATATTGTGTACCTGTGTCTATATTTGGCATTGTAATGATAAATTATATTTATATAGAAAGTTTGGTATGTTAGCGTGTAGGTCTATGAAGTAAAATAAGGTTGCAAACATGCAGCTATATAGGCACGTGGTGTAGCCTTGGTCTTAATAGTTTTAGTGAAAAAATCTCTGAACCGTTGTCTGACCCTTACATCAATGTTGTCCAGGTAACTGTGGAAGGTCAAGGGAATCGCACTGTCTGGTAAGGCATCAAGGTCGACGTTACCAAGGTCACACGCATACCCGTTCTGCCGAAGAAATTTGAGGTCACCTGTAAGTAGATAAAAGACGTTAGTCTGTTGACAGGTGAGGTCTAACACAGAGATAGGTCTTTACCTGACCTGAGGTCACCCTAAACTTGTGAGGTAAATGATGAGGTACCATGGCTCATGTGGGCTGAAAATCACGTATATCAAAATGATAATATCATAGCTAATTTTCTTAAGCAGCTTCAGCTTTAACTTACGTTAACAAATATAGCATAAGTTAAAACTACGAATCTAACATGAAACATCATGACCCCTAATAAAAATAAACATGTGACTAAATGAACTTACATTAACAATTATTACCTTAGATAAATATACACATGGCTACAAGCAAACCAACAAACCTACCTCCGCCTATATATACCTACATAAGCCTACATAAGCCTACATAAGCCTACATAAGCATACATATACTTACATAAGCCTACATAAGCCTATATAAGCCTATATATAACAACATAAGCCTACATAAGCCTATATATACCTACCCATACCTATATAAGCCTATATATACCCACATAAGCCTACATAAACCTACATAAGCCTACCTAAGCCTACGTAAGACTATATATACCTACATAAGCCAACAAAAGCCTATATATACCTACCTATACCTACATAAGCCTAAATAAGCCTACATAAGACTATATATACCTACATAAGCCAACAAAAGCCTATATATACCTACCTATACCTACATAAGCCTTTATATACCTACATAAGCCTATATATACCTACATAAGCCTACATAAGCATTTATATACCTACATAAGCCTACATATGCCTATATATACCTACCCATACCTACATAAGCCTATATATACCTACATAAGCCTATATATACCTACATAAGCCTCCATAAGCCTACATAAGCCTATATATACCTACCCATACCTACATAAGCCTACATAAACCCTACTTACCATGACCATCCGAGGCTTGCGACTCTATACACCCCGCCCTCACACCCGAGGGCTTGTCGTGGGTGTGTGTTGTGTTCAAGCTGAGTACTGTCGTTCTTTGAGTGACGTAGTTGGCCAACGTGTGACCTTTGACCTCTCTCGTGGCCTGAGGCTTGTTGCTACCGACGAGGACAACGTAGCTGGCCACAGTTATAAACAACAAACACAGAACAATTAGCAGCAGCAGTTGCTTACAGCTTCGACCTTTGACCCTTAGCACTAGAGATACATAAGTGGTAAGAAATATTGTAAAGGCATGTATTGTGGCCTATATATATATATATATATATATATATATATATATATATATATATATATATATATATATATATATATATATAATACACGTACAAACGTGTAAACTTTGGTTGTGAACAATTGTCTATCTAAACATTTCATACAAATCTTTGTTACATTTAGATATAACTAGCCGTCCCGGCCAGGCCCTGCTCTGGCTTCTGTGAAAAACCTTTCTGTTAAAGACCATTACCTGTGTGTTTAGTAATCATCATAAACCCGGCATTGCCCACCCAAACCACAACCAACCAAAACAACAAAACGCAAACATAACGCTAACACAATTACAAATACAAACGAAAACAAAAACCTAACAACAAACCCAACCACAACCACAAACACCAATACAAACACAAAGAAAAAACAAACAAAAAAGCAAACGAAAACAAAAACCTAACAACAAACCCAACCACAAACACCAATACCAACAAAAAAAACAACAACGAAAAAGCAAACGAAAACAAACCAAATCCAAACGCAAAACCAACCAAAAACACAAATACAAACCCAAAGAAAAAAACACAAACAAAAACGAAAAAAGAAAGAACAAAAACGAACCAAATCAAAACGCAACCACTAACGCAAACCCACCTAAACACAAAGAAAACACTAACGTGAACATAAACGCCCGGGGCGGAATCACCTGTTTTAGCTTAATGAACGACTATAGTTCCCCAACTTATTCATGGTCTTTTGCACTCACTTAAACGAACGCGCCTGTTTCAATTTGATGAACAATTATAATACTCCAAGCTTATCCGTAAAATACCTACAACATTTGCACTTGATCAATCCCCGCTAATTATGTAATTATTTTTTTTTTCCCAACACCAAAACAAAGTAATTAAAAAGTAAATTCTTTTCCACAAAATGCAATGGTTTTATAAAGGGAAGTAATTGTGTTTTCCTAATTTATCAAAGGGAAGTTAGTGCTATAGGACTAAATAAAGACATAATTAGAATTTTTGTAAAAGATGATATTTTTTAAAAACTTGTGTTGAATGAACATGCCGACAATTATTACTATGATTTGAAAAATGAAAATTATTTCCCAACACTTTGAATAGTAATTTTTTAACTCATAAATTTAGACAAATGCGCACGATAATTGTCTAACACTTAAATCCATCCAAGACCAACGACAAACATATGCGTTACATACAGAACTGAGCTTTATATATTATATTTAATTAAAAATAATCTGTGGCGTAATGTTACTTTTTGGTTAAGACTGGCTTCTTTTCAAAATGTTTACAAAGAGGGAGTGTAAAATAACACAAACTATTTTTTCAAGAGATAGGAGACTTCATTACGTCATTATTTTTTTTTTTTGTTTTAATTTTCCCACAGGGAGAAATGACGCAACGAACGCGAATGGTTCTAATTTATTGTTTTATTTTGACGTTAGCTTTAATAATTTATTTATTTATTTATTATTCATATGAGGTTTGCACTCAGAAAATATTATAGAAAGAAATCAATATTTTTATAAGACAAAACATTTAAGCTGAAATAGGACTCCTTTTTCGATGTGTGAAGTAAAGTTGCCTTAAGGTCTTGACAGGGCACGAGGCAGGTGAAGTAGAGTTCATCTGTTTGCTGTGATCTCTGTGACCTGAGCTTATGAAGGGATAGTAGGTCATCAACACGCTCAGCAGAAATCGATGTTTAAAAAAAACAAAACATGTTGGCTGAGATGTGACGTATTTTTAGATGTGTGGTCTGGCTTTTAATGACGACGTGTGACAATAGGGAGGGGGGAGAAGATAAAAATCGTCAAACAAACGTGACGTCATTAATTGATTGACCCCCTCAATTATCCAAAGGATAATTGGTGGTCTAGTGTATTTAAATACGATTACATTTAAATAAAAGAAAACCTACCCATATTGAACGATTGCATTCAAAAAAAAAAAAACCTACCCATATTGAACGATTCAACCCAAAGAAAAACAATACGAGGATATTAAAACAAAACCTACACATACTGTACGATTATATTAAAACAAAACCTACCCATACTGTACGATAATATTACAACAAAACCTACCCATACTGTACGATAATATTACAACAAAACCTACCCATACTGTACGATAATATTAAAACAAAACCTACCCATACTATACGATTATATTAAAACAAAACCTACCCATACTGTACGATAATATTACAACAAAACCTACCCATACTGTACGATAGTATTAAAACAAAACCTACCCATACTATACGATTATATTAAAACAAAACCTACCCATACTGTAGTACTGAATGATTTCTGTACTGACTGTTCCAGTCACAAACCTGTTATGTGTCTGAGCCAGCAGTCTAAAATCTGTGTCTACAAGCAATGTTTGACTACATATATCTAGTCCATGGCTAGTCAATGATCGCCCTTTCAATGGTGGTGTTGAGTTTATATATGTGTACCTGTGTGTGTGTATGTGTAAGTGTGTGTGCCAGTGTGTATGTGCTTGTGTGTATATTTGTGTGCCTGTGTTGGGATGTGTGTTTGTACCGGCGTGCGTATATATGAATGTGTGTGTGCCTGAGTGCGTATGTGTATGTGTGCATGTTTGTGAGCCTATGTGAATGTGTATATGTGTTTATGTGTGGTGTATGTGTGTTTATGTGTGGTGTATGTATGTTTATGTGCGGTGTATGTGTGTGTGTATGTGTATGTTTTTATGTGGGTATGCGCGAAATGAACAAAGTTTCTCGAGTAGGCAATATTTCTACAGAGTTCATACTATGAAATAATTTAATTCAACATAGAAATACATAGAAATAAAATCGACATTTTTCAAAGCAATATCAAACAGAACGGCCCGACAAATCCAACGGAACTGAAAATCTGCCTGCACTTATACCAACCGGGTTAAACATAAGGGAAATGTCAACTTTAAAAAGTTGTTTGGTAAAAAAAAAAGTGATTGCTTTATATTCAATCACGCCCGTAGAATACACGGGCCGATATGGATTTGACAGAAAGCGACAGCGCTACAACAATAGTGTGTCGCAGTTCCCGCCCTTTGATAGGTGTCGCTGCTGCAGTTCTATAAGTTCAGACGGTGGTCGGCCTAACTGATAACCTTTAAAATATATTTACACCGTTTTTATAGCCATTTTCTATTTACTGTTTTAAAAGTTGGTTTATTTTGATGACTATATGTTTCGCTTTTTTAATTGATATTTTTGCTTCCATTCGTGTCAACTTCACTTAAATATATATATATATATATATATATATATATACATATATATATATATATATATATATATATATATATATATATATATATATACATATATATATATATATATATATATATATATATATATATATATATATATATATATATATATATATATATATATATATATATATATATATATATATATATACTAGCTGCATCCCGTGCTCCGCCACGGTAAATCTTTTTTAAATGTACCAACTTGGGAACAGAACAAAACTAAACACAACACAAACGAACGCAAAAAAAAAACAAAAACAAAAACGAAAAAACAAACAACACTCATAACATAAACACAATTTAAATGCAATCATAAAGGCATATTGCTCACAGTCTAGCCCGTAGCGCCAAATCGCGCCCTTTCCGGTGATTTGCACCCCCCTCAAACTTTCGATTTGCACCCCTTCCCCCCCCCCTCCCTAAAACTTTCGATTTCCACCACCCCCCCCCTCGCACATTTTTTCCAACCCACTTTGGCGCCCCCTAAGGTCGGCACCCGGGGACATATGCCCCCCCCCCATCGCTACGCCTCTCCTATAAAACCCGAAAGATAGAATAATAATTAGAAAACAGTATAAATAATAGGCAGTATCTATAATATCCGTGTTTTACCTACAATATTTCACTTTATCCATTCACGCATTTTTTTCCAGTACTTTAAATTTTAAAAATTTACAATAGAGTTTCATAACTAAAACCATTGCGCACCTAATGAACGTGATGACGCGTCTATAACAATGCTGAATAGTTGATTAAAAATTATAAGTAATAAACAGTAGGGCCTACATTCAGTGAATAAAATAAATAAAAGATTGCCTTTTATCAATCCATGCTAATTATAATTTTCTAACAATAATTTCCTCTTACACATCCACATAATTTGCATTCACATTTTGCTAATTATATTATTGCAACACTAATTCCTTCTATGACGAACGTATATTTGCATTCACATTTTTTATTAGCGTGAGTTTAATGTATTTTTAAATTACCTCCTTTGTCAAAATTAGAAAAGAGTTAAATTAATTTGATTTTTCTACCGTACTGTTATTATGTTATAAAAATGTATCCACTTTTTCTAGGAATATTAACGAAAACGATATTTGACATTGATCCTTTTAATATGTTTTAGCAATGTGCGTGTATTTAATATTCTCTTTACGTTATGCAAAATTGTACAAACAGTGGAAATTATAAAATAGCTCTATGTCGTTATATAAACAGACCCTACTCTAATTCTTATAATAAGACAATGCGATGCACTGAAAAGCACTGCATGGTGCTTTGTTTACTTTTATGGTTCCAAAAGCTATAGCGATGACAGAAGGAAGGAAGGAAGGACTGACACACGCTCAGCCCGCTTATATTATAGATTACATTATATATATATATATATATATATATATATATATATATATATATATATATATATATATGTGTGTGTGTGTGTGTATGTGTGTGTGTGTGTGTGTGTGTAACATACGAATAAGAGACAGACGCTTAGCGACTCATTTCAGGGGGGGGGATCGCATTTATTATGATGTCACAATATTGATGTAGATAACAGTTAAATGAACCAGGAGAGTAAAGTAATAGTCTATTTCCTGAACTTTGAATGTACATAATGCTGCTCAAATGTGCCTTTTTATTTTTATCCTACCCCCTTTGGCGCCCCCTTTGGGTCGGGCGCCGCCACCCGCCCTCCACTAGTTAGCCTCTTGTTAGCGATGTTTACTCTGAAATACAAGAAACATTTCGAACAGGTATTTTGGTTTTCTAGTTAATTTCAATTCATTTCATTGGGAAATATACCTTTGAGATATGATATGAGCAAATATAATTACAAATGAGGGTATGGAACTGATTAAATTAAGATCTCGAAGTACCACTGTTTATATGATGGATATATTACATTTATATACATTTAATATTGTAACAGTTAATTATTTCCCATTCTCAACCCAACTAAGGGAGATAAAAATATAATTTTGTTACCAAAGACAAATAAAATAATAATAAGACACCAAATACAACATCGTTAATTTGGTTACACATAAATACAATTTATGTCTAAAATATATTTTTAAATTTTAACTGTTCAGTTTTATAGTTTTGCTTAATAATTTAAATATAGCTTTATTGTATCAAGAGAAATACTGTTATAAAGTTGCAACAAATTTAGGGCTAGTTTGATGAAGTTGTATAGTATTACCGATTGATGTTGTCCATATCTCCGTGTCTTACTTCAATTTAGTAAAAAAAAAAAAAAATTTACCTAATTCGTGAGCTTTTAATTTCCTTTAGCGGTTTCGTTATGTTTTCTGAACTAGTGCAGGGGTCGGCAACCTTTTGAGACGGAAGAGCCAAAAGTTACAATTTACACAAATTCCAAGTCTTTAAAGAGCCGCCAACATTTTTATTTCAATATTAGGTATATATATATATATATATATATATATATATATATATATATATATATATATATATATATATATATATATTAAGCAATGTATGTGTGTTTGTGTGTCTGTTTTTCTTTTACGCATTACTACACCAATTCATCCGACCGCCATGAAACTTTGGGAAGTTGTTGCGAATTTTCCTGGGGAAGTTTCTGCGAAAACAGTTTTTTCAAATTCGCAGGAGTGGTTTGTTTTTCCTCTATATACGGTATATAAAAAATAGAAGTCGATTGCGGATTCACACTCTTCATCCGATCATCATGAAACTTAAAGGAGTTGATTAAAACACTACAGTAGAGGTTGGTGCAAAAAAAATCATATTTTAAATTTCGGAGGGTGCGATGTTTCTCTACATACTTATGGGCGGCGCCCGGGTGGTGAATTTTCGTCCATACACGTTTTGACGCCCTGAGCTCCAGAGCGGCTACGTTATTACTTGGCATCCATTAATCGGGCGTTCTACATAGCGGGTAAGGGGTACTACTATATTTAGCGGCAAAACTACAACAGGCACAACCGCCGGCGCCTCGTAATTTGCGCGACAAAAAGCGTCCCTTGCTCACCTGCGAGCACCATGGCGCCTACGTTTTTTTAATAAAAAAAACCGCTATACACCATAGACACGATGGGCAACAATACGTTCATTTTAAACAGCGCAATAGGCTATGAATACAATGGGTTGCTATAGTCGCTCACTGAATCGAATCAGGCGCGCCCTAAGTCTCTGCAGGGTGCCCAGGGCTATTCCGCGAGCACTAAGCGCCTACATTAGTTTTAAGCAGCACCCTACAATACGACATTCGATGATTAATCCGAGCTAGGGATTAACAAGGGGAAAACAAGGAAGTACATTGAAATAGGGAGTATCTAAATATTCTAATAAAATATAGTGTTTATTGTTTATATTTATTATTATATCGTTCATTACCGAGTGTTGCAGACTAATACTTTTATGAGTATTAAAAATAAAATAAAATAATTTTTAATATGTGTGCATGGAGCAGAAGAGCCGCAACTTGACATCAAAAGAGCCGCATGCGGCTCGCGAGCCGCAGGTTGCCGACCCCTGAACTAGTGTAATCTTGAGGAATATCATTTACGAGCCGACCCGCAGCGTATCATACGCCGCTATTTAGTTGTTTTATTTTCTACTTTTCAGTAATTCATAATTT